ACCAGAAACGGGTCTTGCGCGAGTCGACATAATGACCTGACGCCGCAGCTTACGCGGGCCCCCAGCGCGGCACGCTACATTGGAAACGAGGACCGGCAGGGCGGTCCTGTGATCTGGCTCTCGCAGGGGGGGGGGCGCTAGTTTTCTGCGTTTGGTCTGCGTGGCGGTATGGAGTGGCGGCGCGATGGCCTACACCCTGCAGCCTACGAGCGTGGCCTGACAAGCTGGGCTTAAGAATGCGGCTTCAGCGCAAAACTCGCCTGAATGGGCCTCCCGTTTACGTGAAGGCATGAATGTATGCAACAATGACGCACACTTAGATATGTTACCTGGTGCCCCAAGATATTCCAAAACCTCTGCAGCTCTGCGGTTAGAGCGACATTACGCAGCAACCCGCAATTGCGGATACGAATGAGGGGGCGGGCGCGGGGTGGGTCGCGGGCGGGTAGCGGGCGGGTCCCAGGGTGGATCGCTAGGTGGGTCGCAGGTGGGTCGCGGGCGGGTCGCAGGTGGGTTGCGGGCCTGGTCCTGAGTGGGAGAACGACAACATCAACAACAACAACAACAACAACAACAACAACAACAACAACAACAACAACAACAACAACAACAACAACAACAACAACAACAACAACAACAACAACAACAACAACAACAACAACAACAACAACACCAACAACAACAACAGCAACACCAACAACATCAGCATCAACAGCATCAACAACAACAGCAACAACAACAATAATAATTTTAAGACTGTTCGCCTTTACCTGCTCGAGTGTCCAATAACGCGTATTTCCAAAACCCTCGATACCCGCCCTCTCCGTCTTCGATCGAGCCCCTTTGGGGGGGTATAGCTTTCTTATGCTTTCTTCCCTGCAGGCCGGGCCCCGGCAAGCGGCGGGGCGGCCGCGGACCACCGGCCTGGCCAGCGGCAGCGCTGATCGGCGGGGCGACCGCGGACCGTCGACCCGACCCCCAGAGGGACGAACAGGGGACCGACCACGACGAGGACGACGACGACGACGTCGACGATGACGGCGACGACGACGACGACGACGACGACGGCGACGACGACGAGCGAAAGCGAGAGCGAGAGAAAACGACAGCAGGGCCACGAAGGACACGAAGTAGGCCACGAAGGGCGACAGCGGGGACACGACGGGAATGCGTATGGGGCCACGAAGAGCGCGAACGAGCGGGGGCCACGAAAGGCAGATAATGCGGGGCCACAGAAGGCAACGATGGGGCCACTGAAGGTAGCAACTGGGCCACGTAGGACAGTGAGGGGGCCACACACGGCGACAGCGGGGCCACGAAGGGCATGCACATGGGGCCAAAACTGGCGCGAACGAGCGGGGGCCACGAAGTGCATACGTATATTGGGCCGCGGAGGGCAAGAACGGGGCCACTGAGGGCAGCAACGGGGCCACGAAGGGCAGCGATGGGGCCACGAAGGGCGACAGCGGGGCCACGAAGGACATGCAAATGGGGCAACCACGGGCGCGAACGAGCGGGGGCCACGAAGGGCATACATATATGGGGCCACGAAGGGCAGCGAGGGGGCCACGAAGGGCAGCGATGGGGCCACGAAGGGCAGCGAGGGGGCCACGAAGGGCTGCAACGGGGCCACGAAACAAAGCGAGGGGGCCACGAAGGGCTGCAAAGGGGCCACGAAGGGCAGCGAGGAGGCCACGAGGGGCTGCAACGGGGCCACGAAGGGCAGCGAGGGGGCCACGATGGGCTGCAACGGGGCCACGAAACAAAGCGAGGGGGCCACGAAGGGCTGCAGCGGGGCTACGAAGGGCAGCGAGATCCCGATTCCAAGGGTTATCTGTGAGGGAGTCCTAAGCGTGAGCGCGACTCCTGGGTGCCTGGGTGTCGGGAGCGCGGCGCTTGAGTAAATTGCAAGAAAGTCCAACGCAAGGGCGCTATTCTATAGTAAATTGCAAGCAAATCTCCAGCGAAAGCGCGACTCCAGAGCGCTGGGAGAGCGATTCTTGAATAAATTGTAAGGAAGTCCCAAGCGAGAGCGCGATTCCTGAATAAAACGCGAGGAAGTCTCGGGCGGGAGCGGGAGCCCTGGCTGAATTGTGAGGAAGTCTCAGGCGGGAGCCGGTGTTGTTGTAAACTGGGGGCCAACGACACAGTTTGACCCTCAAGAATTTCCCTGATCAGAAACAGGGTGCGAGCCCCGGGAAGGGCACTTCAATCGGAAAAAACAATGTGCACCGGACGGGGGGATCAACAATAATTATTCTTCAGAAATGAGAACTCTTCAACAACAACAACAACAACAACAATCATTTTGAGACTGTCCGCCCTCATCTGCTCGAGTGTCCAATTACGCCTATTTCCCAAACCCTCGATACCAGCCCTCTTCGTTTTCGATCGAACCCGGGGGTAGACCTTTCTTCCCTGCAGGCCGGGCCCCGGCAAGCGGCGGGCCGGCCGCGGACCGCCGGCCTGGCCAGCGGCAGCGCTGATCGGCGGGGCGGCA